CCCCCCCCCCCCCCCCCCGATTCACCAGCTGGATGTTGCCCTCCAAGCTGCTGGGCTGCCCATGTGCATGCTGTGGCTGGGCGCATGCACGTGGCATTTATCAGCAACATTATTGGCTATGTCAAACAAATTAAAAAATATATATATTTATAACAAAATAGTGACTCGCAACTCACCTGTTGGCAACCCTTTGCTTGGGCGCCCAGGGTGGTTGCCCTGCTTTCCCCTCCCTTGCTACTGTACTGAGTGCAAGCCTCATAACAAATGAATTCCTGGTAGTCATTTCAAATCACTTCAACAAACTTTCAGTCCTCACAACACCCCTGTAAGATTAGTTGGGGTGGTTCTTATCCTCTTTCTACACATGGGAAAATTAAAGCAGTTTAAAGATTTGACCAAGGCAATAAGAAACTGTCAGAACTAGGATTAAACCTTAGGAGTGTTTTGCTTCTATCCTTCTTTCAAGACTCTTTTAAACTTTCTTATTTCCCAGAGGAACCCAAGACCATACTCAGTATTTTATTTCGTAACTGACATCATAGGTTTTAAATATTTTGTGGCAGAAGAACTGCCATTACACATACTGTGTACATATCATTTCTTGGAACTAGTTTGAAGTAATGAGAAAACATTAGAAAATCCCGCAGTGCCTTGAGTGTAGGCTTAACCAAGGAAATGGGACCAACAATCCTGGTTTCAGCAACTTCCGTTCAAAAAGCAGAACTGAAAGCAGCACACAAAGCTAAAAAAGCTCCTATATATTAAAGAACTTTAGGAAAGGAAAGTTCAGTGAACAAGAGTCAGAAAATTCTCAAGTTACCTTTCTCACAAGCATGAGAACTCCTTGGATACATGTTCATTTGTAGTTACAAAGTTGTAGCATTAAAAAATAGAGCACTATGGGGGTGTAGAGCATCCTGGTTGAAGTGCTACAAAGTAACCCAAAGGAGTTCTCTCCAGACAGGGGGATAGGGGACCTCTGATTCAGCTACTGCTCCCAGGGCACCTGTCCCTGAGTCCAATTAGCTGTTGCCACTGCAGCAGCCCCCATTCCGTAGAGTAAGCCAAGCTATCTTTGTTTATCAGCGGCATCATGCAGAAGGATCAGTCCCGGGTTGGTCACAATTGTGCAAAGTTGTTTATGCGAGTGCTCTTTGAACCTCTTTCTTACCAACCTCCATACATGCAGGAGCTAAGTGAAAAAGTTAAGTGGGCCATTTTTGAGACAGCCTGAAAGTTGAATTACTAGGGGTGCCACTAAAGTCACATACTCCCTCCCATCAATGCCTGCTGAAATTTTACAACTTGGCACTTTCTGAGGGATGTGATGGGCTCTCTATCACTTGTGGTGTAAGTAAAGACAAGATATGCTAAAAGTGATGATAAAGCCCAAACAGAATCATTGACTTGATTAAGATTCTGGACTTGCATTACATATAAGGTCACAAGAGAATTGATTGTCACAACTGGCCCTTTTGCCTTTACAATGTTTTTTTTTTTAAATGACTGACAGGGGCACCCTGCAGTGAAATAACTGGTGTAGTTTAGAACATAGCCTCGATACTCCTTATCTGTTCTAGAAGGAACTGCCCTTCCCTTTCATTGCTCCAAGAAGTCAGGAAAGGGCCTTCAGTACAGCTCATATTTAAAGCATGCTGTTCCTGACCAACCAGAAAAAACAAAACAAAACACTATATTCCCCAGTCTCTAGTATCTTTCTTGTTCATGAACTTGTTGGAAAACTTCACACTATCTAATTACAGTTTAGCTGAGCCACTCACTATTTAAATTTTGAATTTAAGAGTTCAAGCTTTTGCATTAAACTGGCACATGCTAGTGATCAGAATTTCCCCTTCTACCCAAGAAATCATGAACATTCCATTGGCAAGTTAAATCTGTAGGGAGGCAACATTAAAAATCCAATTAAAATATTGCTCATATGCTGTAGCCACAACAAATATGTTAACTTTCCAAAAATATTGAATGACAAGTTGTTGCGTGGTTTCTAAATCTTGATTTCCACAATCATGTTTTGATTAAACAGTATCAGAATTGTTTGGATACTTTCCTTCCTTAAAGCAAACGATTAAATCAATACACTAAAAATCTGGAAACAGTTGAAAAATTGTAACAGGAAAGTCAATTTTTTCCAAATCTATCGGTAAACCAGAAAATTGATCTTAATCTACATACACAGTCAAATCGTGCCCTCACTTACCACATAATCCATTACACTCCTCAAGTGGTTTTGCATATGAAACAGTGTTTGCATCAGAAACTTTCAACTGGTCCATGCACCTTCTTGCATAGGCCCAATTTCTCTTTTTTCTCTGATTTTAAATTTTTTTTCAATGTTTCTTGCACACACAATTATGAATTAGAAGAAAAGCTAAACATTTATAAGTCAGCGGGACCGGATGGACTCCATCTGTGAGTGCTGAAGTAGCTGGCTGAGGTCATTGCGAAACCCCTGGCAAAAATCTTTCAGAATTCATGGTGCACAGGGGAGATCCCTGAGGATTGGAAGAGGGCCAACATTGTGCCCATCTTTAAGAAGAGGAAGAGGGAGGACCTGGGCAACTATAGGCCAATCAGCTTAACCTCTATCCCAGGGAAAATCCTGGAAAAGCTCATTAAAGAATCTATGTGTGATATGCTCATTGAAGGTAAGATTTTGAACGACAGCCAGCATGGCTGTCACGGGCAGGTCTTGTCTTACCAATCTCATCCCCTTCTATGACCAGGTCTTTTGCCACCTGGACATGGGAAACAAGGTAGATGTTATATACCTAGTCTTCCAAAAGGCTTTTGATCTAGTAACCCATAATATCCTTGTGGGAAAACTGGAAGATTGTCGGCTCAACTGCTTGATGGTCCAGTGGGTGGGAAACTGGCTACAGGGTAGGACCCAGAGTTCTCATGAACAGATCTGTGTCATCTTGGCATATGAAGTGGCAAGTAGTGTCCCTCAGGGGTCTGTGCTTGGACCAGTGCTTTTCAACATCTTTATCAATGATTTGGACGGGGAAGTGAAAAGCTTGCTGGCCAAGCTTGTGGATGACACCAAGTTATGGGGTAGTGTGATCATGCCAGAAAATGAGTTGCTGATCCAGGTGGACCTGGACAGGCTCGAGAGTTGGGCAGACCAGAACCAGATGAAGTTTAACGCTTCCAAGCGTAAGGTGCTCCATCGAGGGGCAAATAACCCTCAACATGCATACAGGCTCGGAGGTGACAGCCTGACCTGCACCACAGCTGAAAGGGAGCTAGAGGTAATGAGTGACCACCGCATGAACATGAGGCATCAGTGCAATGTGCCAGCAGGGCAAACAATACGCTGGCATGCACCAGCTGGTGCAACTAAGGAAGTGATACTCCTGCTGTACTCAGCACTCATCCAGTTCTGGGCGCTGCACTTGAATAAGGACATGAAAAAACTTGAGAGGGTCCAGAGAAGAGCCACCCATATGATCTGGGACTTGCAAGACAAGCCATATGAGGAATGGTTGAGGGATCTGGGCCTCTTTAGTCTAAAGAAGAGAAGGTTGAGAGGGGACTTGATAGTGCCTGACTGCTATATCAGAGGAGTAAATCAGGAGCTCGGTGAACAACTGTTCACTAGGGCACCCTTGGCGAAGACCAGGACCAGTGGATATAAACTTCCGGAAGGCCACTTCAGGATTAATACCAGGAAAAACTCCTTCACAGGCAGGGTGTCCAGACTGTGGAATAAACTCATTCCAGAGGTGGTACAGTCATCTACCCTGGAGATTTTCAAGTGGACTAGACAGTTACCTCGCTGGGGGCACTTGACCCCAGTTGTCTTCCTTCTTAGAGGAGGGGGGCTGGACCCAATGATCTGCAAGGTCCCTTCCAGCCCCTAACAACCTATGAATATTTCCTGAAGCTATTCTGTATTCCCCAAGTGTTTCATATGGCTTTACAAGGGAAAGCTGGAATATAAGCAGAAGTCATAAGATGGAAGTACGGTTACTTTTACAAGATTCTAATTTAAACAATGTAGTTTGCCATTTTAAAGTTTTGTTTACTGTGATAAATGGAATTCTTAATTCAGGAAACTGTAAAAATAGCATACAATACAATCAGACTGAAGAGGAAACATTCCATTGCTATGTAGAAAAATTAGATTTGTCATGGTGACAAAATGGTATCATTTTGCTGCAGTTCTGTGGAACATAAATATATGATTATAGAATACACAACTCTGGACAATTTTGGAACACTCCAATGCTCTGGAACACTCCAACACTCAAAACCCCTAAAACATTCAACACAGAACAAAACATTGAAAACCTTCTTAAAAAGCAAGTCACAAAAGCCACTTATCTCAAAATAGTTGATTTATGTTACAAGCAATATCCAAAGCTAGGACCACAATGAGTAAGGTAAAATGAAGCTTTACAAATGGGAGAGAACTAGAATAGTGCAGCAAGGCAATTTCCATGCGACTGACCCAGGCCATCTAGAATAAAGCAAGTTTCACTTATTATAGTGATTGTGTAAATAGGAATTTTGACCCAGACAGTCCTTTTCTTTAAGGTAGGTTTAGTATTAGACCAGTTTTACAGGCATAGAATTAAAATGATTTCCTGAAAATCTTCGTGCCAATTCACACTGAATTATAAATCCAGACTCTGGACCCCTGCTATGATCTTAGGAACATGATGAATCCATTCTATAACGTTCATGTGGAAGAGCAAATTGGCACAGAGCAGTTTGTGTAGAATATGATAGGGTGTGAATTAAAAAAGATCAAGTTATTCTGTACTAGATCTCCGTGTGGATGCTGTTATTTTGAAATAATAGTACCTTTGGGTGAATAATACACTTTTGATCATCCATACAGGAGATAAAAACTTCTACTGCACACTAATCCTTTTAAAATTTTTCCTTCAAAGTAGTCATAAGCCCTAAGGACTGTCAGATCTTTTTAATAAACAGGGGAAAAAAATCATTTCCTACTAAAAATTTGCTGAAGCCAACATGGGATAAAGCCTTGCAATAGCAAGTTCATACGTAGCTCTACACTGTATGTTATGTAGATCCCTTATTATGCTCAAGAACCAGCATACTGAGCACCTTCCAGTGGCACCTTAAACATGATTAACTTCTGTCACGTTTGTTCTTTCCTCCCTGGGGGAGAAGTTTGTGCAATGGAGTATTTTGTTCTGGTAGGTTTTTTTTTTAACTCTATATTGCTACATGTTCATGTTAGAGCAGGGGTGCCCAACCTTTTTAGATCACAGACTGGCAAACCACGGACCGGATGTGACTGTGGACCAGGAAACTGCAGTCCAGAGTGACCGGCGTCCTGTATAAAGAAGGGTTGGCTGCTGATCCGCAGTATGCCGATCATTTCTGGACTTCCAGCCTGGCAGCCAACCCTCCTGTGGACTGGCAGCCAACTCTTTGCAGCTCGGTATCAGGCCTTTTGTTGACCTTTCTTTTTTGTCATCAAAAACCCCCAGTGGCCCAGGGGTTGGGAACTTCTGAGTTAGAGAATGGAAGGTAAAAAAAAATAATGCTTAGCTTGACTGAATAGATTAGTTTGATGAAAGCAAATGAGATGTAATTTGACTACAGCAGGGGTTTGATTCAAACTGCTGAAGGGACTATTATTTCAAATTTAAAGGTAACAAAAGTTCGCATTAGAGAAAGCCTGTGGGAGATGTGAGCATCCACCTGGCACTATACAGCCCGTAGAAACTTAGTGGCAGAGATGACAAATGCTAACCTAATTTTTCCTCAGACTGGAGTTTTGAAGAATTAAATCTCTCTGCTTGTTTCTACTACATATAACCTTTTTACTGCATCTCCTAAGGAAACAGATTTTGTGGGGTTCACTGCTTCATTCCTACTCCTGCATCTTGACTAAAGCCATTTTACCTGGTGAGGGCACTATTACCTCCCTTCTGTCCAACACAAATCCAACAATCCAATGTGCATACAGGGGAACTACTGACACAAATAATGACAGATGACAAAGACGCATTTCCTGCTATTTATTTACACGTCCATTCTGCTGCTCAATAGATGAAGGGGGGTTATAAAGATGACCATGACAGGCTATTCTCTGCATCTGCATGGGACAGGATGAGTAATGGTGCCAAAGTGCAACAAGGGAAACATAAGTTGGCTATTAGAAAGAACTTTCTCACTACGTAGGAGGTTAAGGACTGGAATAGATTATCTAGACAGACTGCAGAATCTTCTATCATTGGAAGTTCTTAAGAACATGTTTGACAAGCACCTCATGAGACAAGTTTAAACAGGGATGTTCCTGCCTTCAGCAGGAGGCTGGACTAGGTGACTGTCTGAGGTCCTGTCCCGTCCTATTTTTCTGTGATTTGTAACCATCAGACCATCATATAACACCCATGCTTCAAGAATATCCTAATTTCAAAATGTACACAAATAAGGTGTACAGAATTATTTATTACAAAGCTTTACACATGTACAGCAAAAGGAAATCTAAAATATATAGAGATCTGTGACAACTCATGCTGTTGCTTCATGGTTTTGTGGCAGTAGTCAGCAGCCCCTCTGGGGTATCTGTAGGCATCCGCAACAGTTCTTCAACTTCTTCTTGTAGAGCCTCGGCTTTTTCACTCAGCAACATCTATGGCCAAAATCACATTATTACAAGATAAATTAACACAAGTGGCCAGAGCATTTCCTACATTAACAGAAAAGTTGAAAGCCTGGCATTCCCTCCAGGGATGTATCTAATCCTCCAGAAACAAACTAAGAAGAAATTAAGAGTACCAGGAACAAAACCTCTGGAGTTTTGACTCAACAATGATAAACTACTATGCTAATTTTCACATTTGTTATACCAAAATAAATACAGTGCTCCTGCTTAGGAATTCTTTTCACAGGAGCCTATCCTGCTTATATTGTCAAATTTAGCAGGCTAAAACTGGGATGCCTAATGCCTGGCCATGGGTGACATCCAGCCCAGGGAGCCATGCCTTTTGGCTCTCAGAGGTCCCCACAG